TAATAGAGGGATGCTGATTAGTTCTTTGTGGTCTCTGCTATCTTATTCCCCTTGAATCTTGTATAATAGGAAAATATCTATATAGGATGTGGGAAAATTTTTCTTGCAGTTCATGCATTGTAGTTATGTGGCATGCACATTTTCCGCTAGCTCAGAAGTAGAATTACTAGCCATTTTTTTTGGTTTCTCGAATGGAGGAGGGCCTAAGCCTGACCAAACAAAGACAATTACTAGCCTTTCTTTACAAACAATTGAAGAATGGCTAGCTAGTAATTGGCTGTGTTTGCGTAATAATAAGTCAGAAGGACTTTCTAACCATGTCACGAGGCGAACATGAGCAAGTTTCTGTATGCATTTTATAGGGTTGGAATCTGGCTTCTGACTTAGGAAAAGGGTGAGGACAAAAGTACTTAGGATAGTATCATAGTATAGAGCATAAAGGATGGATTTTTTCTCTTTTCAGCCTTGAGCCTTGCTCAACCGCAAAAATCTTTTTACCAGTTGCAAGCTTGAATACGTGGTGGAATGAAAAATGTTGCTCATGCTTGCTTCCCACATGAGCACAACCAAGCAACTGATGTCGATGGAGACAGTTAGCTACTTGCATTCCTCTTATCAAATTTCATCTGTTATTCATGTTGGCCTTTTTATCTTAATCTTCAGGGAATACTGGAATACCAAAACTCAAGGAACTTACCATTGCATATGTTGTGACACACCTCTATTTGAGTAAGTACTATTCTAGCTAATTTTGGGTTTTCATTGAATATTATGCTCTTGCGCACTCTTTTAACATCGATCGATAAAAATATTTTCTCCTTCAGATCATCTACCAAATTTGATAGTGGAACCGGTTGGCCATCTTATTACCAGCCAATAGGAAACAATGTGAAGTCCAAGTTAGACTTGTCAATTATAATCATGCCTCGCACGGAAGTTCTTTGTGCCGCATGTGATGCTCATCTTGGCCATGTCTTTGATGATGGACCACCACCCACAGGAAAGCGTTACTGTATAAACAGGTAAGTAATCGATTCCCATATTTTTCTTTTCCTTTTTTTCTTGCCCTTTCTCCCCATATATTCAGCTTTTATAGTGGACTTGTTATGACAAGAAACTACCCCTGCAGTGCCTCTCTGAAACTAAAACCAGAGTAGGAAGCAAAATCTCGCAAGAGGGTGACTCTTTTGTGCCGGCTCACCGGAGGATTGCCAGTCGGTTACAGACGTGGACAGAACTGTTTCATGAACTCACAAATTCAAACTGTTAGCCATGTTTCTTCATGAAAAAGAAGATGTTAGCCATGTTTATGAGGACCTAAAGTGTATATGGGCAATTCCTAAGGCAAAATATACATCTTAATATTAATATCTCATGTATAGATTAGATTGCAGGATATTGGCGGAATTGCTTCTTTTAATATCAACATTTTGGGCCTTCCCCTTGCAAACTACACTAACACCTCTACGAAACTGTTCAGTTTGCTCTCCATTTTTAAGAGGACAATACTTCCCTCCTTACCAATAAGGAGTTAGAAAAGTCCACAAAAGACTTAAAATTTAACTAAGGTATGAAATAAAAAAAGAAATTAGTTATACTAATGAAAGAAAATGAAAAAACACTTTTGAGACTTTAAATAAAAAAGGACACATGTTAATTTGTAATTAAGCCACATTATTCTGTAAGGAGGAGTTCCGAGAAGTATTGTGCTTTTTTAATATAAGTACTCTTTCTATGAGGTAGCTCGATGATCAGGCACCTCTTTCTTGACATGAAAGTTCAATGTTTGTGAGAAGAGGGAAAGGCAAATAGGAAGAGGAATGCTTTCTTCTTTGCTTTCTTCTTTGTATCTTTCTTGTAATTTTCATTTCTTAATTGATTCATTAAAAAAACGCTTTTTAAAATATATATATATATATATATATATATATATATATATATATTAACAGAAATTCTCTTATGCGGACATCCGGACGTTATTATCGTGCGGACGCAGTGTATTTTGTACTACCCCTCTCTGTTTTCCTGCCTGTTTACAATAGGATCCGCACGATAATAACGTGCGAACATCCGGATAAGAGAATAACTGTATATATATATATATATAAGGATTGGATTAAGAAATAAAAGAAATTAAAAAAAAATTATCTATTTAATAAAATGATGGGATTAAGAAATAAAATAAATAAGTTCGAGAAGACTTGCGTGTATTGTAATTAAACCAAATATATATATATAAATAAATAAATAAAGTATAGGTGCTTAACACATTTGTTTCATAACTTTAGTATTTGGAAACAAATTTTCCAGTAGTCTTTTTCTTGTTACATTGAAGGAATCAAATTCTCCGAGTAGCCTAATCCTAAGCTAATCCTCTGTTTGGATGAGGCAAAATTACTCGGAATTTAGCTAAAGGTCGAGAATTTAAAAGGAGAAATTGACATTCCCTTATTTGGTAACTTAAGAGCAGAATTTATTAAATGATGCGCGGAAAAAATCGTGGAAATTGCGGCATCAAATTCTCGAGTTTAATTTCCACCAAAATATGTGTCATTTCACAATTTCCAGAGTGTCATTTACAAAATTATGTCATTTACAAATTCGACATACATAAATCCAAACACTGAAATCTTCAATTGCCATAAATTGAAACGATGTAAATCTAAATTTCGTCATTTTTGAATTCTATATAATTTTTAATTCCTTCATCCAAACGGAGGAGATATAATTTTCCACTAAATTTCTTTACACTTAGGAGGCTTTGATTAGGAATTCATATGAAGGAGCATCAAGCAAAGAAATCTCATTTTACTTAGGAGTAGGGGTGGGCATCTAAAACCGAAATACTGAAATCGTACACTAACCATACCGTACCATACCGATTTCATACCGTGTCATTTAGGATGGGAAGATATTCGATACCATACCATACTGTACCAATAGAGTATGGTATGGTAGCAGTATCAAGTATTTGGTACCGGTCAGTACCATACCGTACTGAATACTGAAATATATATATATTTTTTTCATATTGAAATATAAGTATTTGTGTTGTGTTATTGATTCTGGATTATGCCATTTGTGATGTGTTGTTGCTTTTTTACTTTTTCTATATTTTGATAGCCTTTGTGTGTATGTTCATAGAGCCTTTTTCTTTGATTCATTTGATAATTAAAAGATGTTTCAAATAGAAACATGTAAAAGCCTTTCTGTAACTAGGACATGAATTCCATTAACTTTTTTCTGTGGGATACAAACAAGAACCTCCTGTATTAAATTTCAAAACAGTATTATTCTACCCTAGAATAGTTTTCAGAGTGGCCTCTGGGTTCTGTTAGTTAGAAGATCAATATCTTCATTATTTTGTTCTTAAATTTCCATGTATGCATCATTTATATGGTTTCTTTCATTGACTAATCATACGTGACGGTTTTGGCATCATCACTGTATTAGCATATAAAAAACAATAATAATATAGAGAATCTTTTGTTAAAAATTGACTAAGCTTTGTTATTGGGTATGTAAGCCATAAGGCATAAGACATAATTTTAACTATTTTGGTTTGTAAGCCATAAGGCATGAGTTTTAACCATTTGGATTTGATGTATCTGTTGATGGATATTGATTTGGTTGATTTGGATATTGAATATGTTGATTAGGATTTGGATATTGAGCATGTTGAATCTTTGAATCTATAACCTAGGCATCACTTATTTGGGTGAAAGAATATGTTGAATATTGAATTGGTTCATTTTTAAGTTGTGTCATTTTGGTACCGAAATGGTACCGATACCCATTTGGCACAGTATGGTATAGTACCAACTTTGGCAAACGATAATCCCATACCGTACCATACCGGCTTTAATTTCTGGTATTGGAAGCGGTACGAGCTAAATACCGTACTGTACTGTGCCCACCCCTACTTAGGAGACATTTGATTCATGGAAAGGAATCCATAGGAAGGAGTATCAAGCAAAGCAAATTTATGGGAATGAAGATTCGAACTTGAGTACAATAACAAATTCACTACACTAACTAACTAACCTAATCCGCATATGCGAACTTAATTTTTTATATTTTTAAATACAAGCTATAATCTATATATATAAAGCAAAAGATAGTGGTGAAACATTCAAAATACCATAAAATGCCCTTGGTTAATGCAAACATTAAGAATTAAAATTATTAATTAAATGAGGATATTATGGTAAATTCACACTTTTTCATATTAAAAAAATTTAAAATTAAAAGAAAAATCAGATAATGGATCATCTTTTTATGGAACACAACTATCCATTATCTTTTTTAATTCTAAAATAAATTTAAACTTTTTAAAAAAAAGCCTTTTGCAGGATATCATGATTATTATGGGATTTTTCTCATACATTATCACGATATCATGGGGTTCAAATCCAAAACTATTAATCAGTAAGCTAAAAACCATTTTCAATTGAAGCTTAACCTTTTATGAAAGGAAGAAATATATGAATTTTGAGCTAACCCGTTCGAAAAGCTAGTCGTTACTCGTTGTTACTGGAAGCGTGGAACCCAAATCCAAGAAACAACTGTACGCACAAAAACCCCCCACCATAATATTTAACCCCGAAATCCAAACCCGTTAAACCCTCTCCCTCTCTCCCCCGCGCCCGCTCTCGCTCTCGCAGAGCCGAGACCCAGACCACCATCTTCTTCTTCCCTCACTCGTCTCTCCCTCCACTTCAATTATGTACGGAGGCGGTGAGTACATGAAAAACCTAACAACACTTGCATGCTATATTAGATTTCTCTGATTTGAATTTTTTGGGGCTTTCTTTTTCTCTGGTTTGCAGATGAAGTATCGGCTATTGTTCTTGACCTCGGCTCCCACACTTGCAAAGCTGGCTACGCCGGCGAGGATGCTCCCAAGGCAGTCTTCCCATCAGTATGTGCTTATTTATTTCTATTAAATAGTTCAGCTAAAATTTTCATAATGTCAATCACATTTACTTTGGGTTCTTCTTTTTCTTGTTCAATTACTAGTTACCGTTATAAAGTTCACAACTTTGTTGCTGTGCCTAATCAAAATGCAAACTTGTAGTTTAATACTAAGCATTTCCGCTTCATAGATCCAGGAAATGTTACAATCTGGGTCAAGTTACTGACAATGCAGAATGTGTGTGGCTTTGTAGTTACCCATTTGAAAATTTTTAAACCATAGCTAAAGAATTGTAGCCTTTTGGGTACATGTCTGGTGTTAGGACCGTCCCAAAGATTTTAGAATTATAGGTTGTCGTTTATCCAGAAGAATGATTAAGAGTTTTCCTTCCTACACCATGATGGATAAGGCGACAGTACTGGTGGAAAATCATCTTCAGTAGAGGGGGTGTTAAAGTTGATGGGATTTATGCAGTTAGGTGGGAAGTTCATGGTTGCGTTTGAATCAGTTGGGAATTTTTGCAGAATGGCTGGAACTTTTCTTATTTTTTGAATTTATTAGTTATGGAATTAGAATATATGCTTTGAATTTCTGAGCATTAGAGGATGGACCTTACTTATTAAATTCGTCGAATTAGGTGTAGAATTTGTTTACTATGTTTTAGTCCGTTAATTGGAGAGTTATTATTACTAGTTCATATGTAAATTAAAAATTTAAAACTGATGTTGGTATCTGTTTTTGTTTGTTAAGGTTGTTGGATCGATTGATCAAATGGAAGTTGAAACTGAAACAGAAAATAATTCTGGACCTGCTGTAGATCCAAAAAGTAATTCCAAATCTCTTGATTCTGACAAAGCCAAGGGAAAACGCAAATTATATGTGGGATCTCAAGCCTTAGGGTACCGTCGGGATCATATGGAGGTCAGTCTAATTAAAAGCTTTTGTCATTCGAGCACTTTTTCTATAAGACTTTGATTAACTACTGCTGTTCTATCAGGTGCTGTCACCCATAAAGGATGGAGTTATTGTTGACTGGGAAGCTGTGGAGGGTATATGGGACCATGCTTTTAGGTAACTACTAATGGATGAATCAGTATTCTACTATGCTTTAAATTTATTTACTCTTTCAAATTATTCTGGGAGTATCTTCATGTGTTTAGAAGCTTCTCATATTCAACTGTATTCTGTTATTCAAGTAATTTTAATTTGGACTTAACTGATGTATGTAATACTGTAGCTTCACTTTACCACCCAAAGGCTTGGATTTTACATTTTCCCAGTTATTTGTCCATCTAGCAATTTCGGTTTCCCAATTATTTAATTCTGTTTCTGTATATTACCATGTCACTAAGTGCTTGCTATTTGTTTCAGGGAATGCCTATTGGTTGATCCTAAAGAGCATCCAATGCTACTTGCAGAGCCATCTTCTAACACTCAACAACAGAGAGAAAGGTAAGCTAGCAATTCTTAAATTTTCTCATTAGCTCACAATTGTGACTCTCTAGTTAAACCAAAATGCTTATGT